TCAAGAGGGAGGAAGGAATAAGACAGGGTCGGCGGACTGGGACGCAAGTTTTTATTAAAGTCTCTCAGTAAGTACAACAGAACAAGGCGCTCACTGCACATTCAAAACTCTCCGTCAATAACTCAGAATATAGCTATATATGCTTTTCTCCAGTAGCCCGGTTTCCCGTGTTGCTCGCGTTCCCAGCCAGTCTCTCTCTGCCTTCCATGCTCCAGGTGGCCCCTTTTATCTGGTCTCTCCACACCAATTACTGAAACGAGACACAGGTGATTATCATTTGCGCTTGACCTACTTATGCACTGCTCGTCTCCTGCCTCTCTCTCCCTGTGCAGACCTCTCTGAACCATGCCCCCCTCGCCACAACCATATAGTCATATTTAGCAGATTAGAGCTGGATATAGTTACATTTTGCGATGATACAAGCAATCAGGCAGTTGAATGTAAATGTATTGTATGTATGCAAGCAAATTTCGATATAATTTACAGTATATATAAATGTCACAGCAGAAATCAAGACTCATCAGACCAGGCAACCTTTTTGAATAATTTATTGTCCAATTTTGGTGGACATGTAGTTCATCTACTTCAAGGTTCAGAAGGTTGTACGTTCAGAGATGCTTTTCTGAAAACCTCAGTTGTAACAGTTGATTATTAGAGTTGCTGTTGCCTTTCTATCAGCTTGAACCAGTCTGACCTCTGGCATCAACAAGGCATTTTCACACACAGAACTGCTGTTCACTTGATATATCATGGATATTTTCATTCTCTGTGAACTCTAGCGTTTGAGAATCCCAGTAGCTCAGCAGTTTCTGAAATACTCAGACCAGCTCGTTTGGCACCAACAACCATGCCACGTTCAAAGTCACTCAAATTACCTTTCTTCCCCATTCTGATGTTCGGTTTAAACTTCATCAGATCATCTTGACCACATCTACATGCCTAAATGCATTGAGTTGCTGCCATGTGATTGGCTCATTAGATATTTGTATTAACAAGCAGTTGAACAAGTGTACCTGATAAAGTGGCTCTAAATAAACACCCTTTCGAGTTGTGGTGCAGAACTCCTCTGCCGCATAAGAAAAACTCAGCCCCGGAGGAGACTTGCATATATTGTGATGTTCCGTGCTGTAGTCACAGCCAGCTTAGGATTTGTTTGAATGCTGTATGAATACTTCCGGCATTTCTGTCATCGGTTTTGACATTATCATTGTGTGTGATGCAAAAAAAAAAAAAAAAAATTTGAAACCCGATTTGAGCAGTCAGAGCATCCAGACTGACATGCATTTGTAAAAATATGTAATTTAAGAACCATTTAGTTTCCCCAAAGAATCTTTCAGTGAGCAGTTATTAAGATAATAATTTTATACAATTGTGAATAATATTTTAATAATCTGTAGAACCTTTCCCACTACAAATTAAATCTAAAGATTCTGTGAATATTAATTAAACGTTTTTTTTTTGTTTGTTTTTCATGGAACCAGTGATGTCAATAAAGAACCATAGTTTTTAAGAGTGTCGGTTGGCTGGTTCCACACTCTTGCAAAATAAAAACCGCAGGCGACTTTTTCTGTACATGCACAGCGATAAAATGCTTTCGCAGCAGGTTTTTCCACACTGATCTTGTGTCTAGTTAACAGTATCTACACATAAGTTAGACACCTACAATAGCAAGCAGCTGCTAATTAGACAGAATGGCACACACACAAGTGAAACTCAGCAAAATAAATATCCAGTCGCTCACTACAGGGACCACAGCCTCATCCATCTGCAAACTTCTCCATCAGGGGGCCTTCAACATAAAGCCACACAGTTCGGCGAGGAAATCGTCCCTGTCCAGAGCCATTATGCCTCCGTGGAGAGAGCGGCCCTCTACATATCTCAAGTTAATTGAAGTTGTGATGCAGCACCGGCCGTAGGGAGTAGCGATGCATCTTTGTAATGGAGGTGGGAGATAAATTGTTTGTGACTTTTTGAGGCATCTCATCCCACTCCATCTCTCTGTTTCACCACCTCCCACTCCTGGAGCAGACAATAAAATGGGAAGTTTATTTTTATATATTATGCTTCTGCTGTGGTGCAAATGGGCCAGAACATGTTGAGATGGGTCAGCGGCGTCCCCTGAGGCACTCTGATGTGCTGCCAGTTGGAAATACAATACAAACATTGCAGCGTTGAGGGCATCGCGCCACCTGTTCGTCTTTGCTTTGGCCCCCTGTTTGGAAGTACTGTTGATTTCCAAATGGGGGGCCAAAGACATTTACTAAAATCATGCAGTGACCCCACATGAATTCCAACACATGCGCTCCATCCGTGCGGAATTATTGATTTATTTATTTTTTTGGCAAGCCAATAAAATACTTTAAAAGTTGCTCACCATTTGGCCTTCACATAGTTTTAGTTGAATTGTAAACTTTTATAGTCTGAACTTTATAGTGTGACTCTCTGAAATAATGCAAAACAAAAGTTTATAATCAAGATTATTTGGATGCCCCCACACATTACTAACAGATTTACAAAATCAAGCATTTAGACTTGTAATCTCTATGTTTTCAGTAGAATGAGGAGCATCAAAGAGCACTGTCACTTTCATTGTGGCACTGAAAAAAACAAAAAACAAAAAACTTAATACATAAAATACCACTTAAATTTCTTAAAGGGGTCATATGATGCGATTTCAATTTCTCCTTTCTCTTTGGAGTGTTACAAGCTCTTGGTGCATAAAGAAGATCTGTAAAGTTGCAAAGACTAAAGTCTCAAATCCAAAGAGATATTCTTTATAAAAGTTAAGAGTCAACCACGCCTACCTAAAACGGCTCGTTCTAACACGCCCCCACATGTCTACGTCACGATGTGGGAAAATTTGCATAATGCCGCCCAAATGTTCACGCAAAGAAAGAAGGCGTAACTTTTATTCTCGCTGTAGTATTGTTGTTGCTGTCGCCGTCATGTCGTGAAGGTGCCGTGTTTCCTTGTGAAAGCAAAACTACTTTGGTTGGCCTTCCAAAAGAGGATGATATCCGCTTCGTCATGCCTGGAGCTGATCCATGCTGGTCGCTGAAGAAATACATCAACTTCGCGCTGTCGATCGTTGGATCGGCTTTCACCTTGAACGAAGCGGTGTCCAGCGCAGGGTCGTCACATGTGGTTGCCACAAGCCTGCAGGACGCTCCTTCGTCGAATCCGCCGGCCGCGCCGTTCTCAAGCCCGCTCGCCTCTGCTCACTCAAGCCGGCCTCCGCTCACTGTAGGCCGCGGCTCACTCAAGGCCACGGTGTGTGATGCTTTTTCGTTGTGAAAGCGAAACTACTTTGTTTGGCCTTCCAAAAGAGGACACGACTAGAAATCAGTCATTAAGTTGTACGTAAAAAACTGTTCCAGAACAGTTTAATCCAAGTATTCAGATGTGTCAAGCGCATTTTATGGAGGACTGTTTCCTGATCGCCAATCAGAGGACACCTCGCTTTTCAGACCGATGAGCTTTTTAAAAATGGACGCGTTTCAGAAAGGCGAGGCATAGAGGAGAAACAATAATGTAAAGTATGTGGAAAATAATGTGTTTTTTGAACCTTAAACCGCATAAACACATTTCATTACACCAAATACACAAAATAATGTTCTTTTTAGCATCATTATATGACCCCTTTAACACACTTAAAAATGCACTTTGCAATAATACAAATTAAAACTTTTACTTTAAAGTGCATTTTAAATCATTGTCTTTTGTCATCTTTTAAAGAAGGACTCTTATTAAAGTGCATGATTATAATTTTAACAGTAGTGTGTTATTACATTTGCATACGCGTAATTACACATTTATTGACAAACATGTCATACAGGTTTCAATAGAAGTGACATTATATTTGTAGTTTAGTTTACCATAAATGCTTGTCAGTACATTCAGCAGTACACTTTGACCATATTTCAAAGGCAATAGAAGTATGAAATTGAATATAAATGTGTACATCTAAAAAGTTCAACTAATATATTTAATAATAACTGTATTACATCTCAATTTCAATTGCAATTGACATGCAATTTAGTGTCCAAACTACACTTAATTATATTATTTTAAAGTAAAATATATCTGTATAAAGTGCTCTTTTTAAAACTTCTCTTTCTCAAGGGGATGCCACCAGTAAAATGGTTTTTCGGTCTGATGTGGAAGACCTTGACTGGCCTGCACCTGAAGTGTAGTGAAAACATTTTGGGATGAATGGGTAATTGGACTGTGGGACAGGCCACTCTAACAAATATTAAGGCAGGACCTCACTGATGGTATTGTGTCCAAATGGGAGCAAATCCCTGCAACCATGTTCCCACAGTCTTTCCGGAAGTGTGGAAGCTGTTGTAGCACCACATCAGCCATGGTTTTGCAATGAAATGATCAAAAAGCATGGTCAAGGTTGTTCACACACTACTAGCAAGGTAGTATTTCACTGCTTTTAAATGTATTTTGGGTCTTTTGGACTTTTTTCAAGGACTGTTTCGGCAGAGCTTTGACTCTACAGGAGGAAACCATCTCGGGAGTATCACGACTTTTACTCTCATGGTGATAACAAAAGGTCTTTTACTTGTGCAAACTGCTGAAGAGGAAACTCTCTTCCCCCATGGCCTGCACTTTTTCCACATTCTTTATCCTTCTTTCCAAAATGTGCACATCAAAGCCCGCCTGTTCATGATAAGAGCAACGCGATGATGTGGAGCGATAAGACAGTGGACAGGAAAGGAGAGTGTGTAAAAGACATGATAAATGAAGTTCTAGAGATGCATAACTCATATGTCCTCATTTTTCTTTTAAGGACAAAGCGTTTACTGAGTAAATCATCTCACAGCCTTTACATTAATTTATCTTTTCTAACACAGGAATAGATAAGCATGACTTCAGCATTTTCACTCATGTAGTAAATCTTCCGCTGCCCTCTAATGCCTTTCAGCAGTGGTGTGTGTCTTCCAGTGTCTCACGGGTTTGTGTATGTGTGTGTATGTGTGTGTTTATTTCAGTGCTGGACCCAGATCAGGAGAGCGTAGAGGCCCTGATGCAGAGGTTTAAAGAGAGTTTCCGGACCAACACCACTATGGAGATCACACACTTCCAGAACGTTACGCACAGCTCCTCTACTGGCCGCAAGAGAGGACAAACTCACAACAGAGGTTTGCAATCCATTGATCCACTGACACACTCAAACATCATCTCTTGTTGGGATTGCTCATGACCTAATAGATTGTTCACGTTTCGCTGATGTATCACAGTTAAATCTGTTCCCAAACACAATGCACTAGGGAGGAAAGGATTGGAGAAATAGAAAAAGTGACGTGACGTGTGGCCGAGTATGGTGACCCCTATTTGGAATTTGTGCTCTGCATTTAACCCATCCAAGTGCACACACACAGCAGTGAGTAGTGAGCACACATACCTGGAGCAGTGGGCAGCCATGTGTTGTGGAACCCCGGCAGTAGTTGGGGGTTCGGTGTCTTGCTCAAGGGTCTCACCTCAGTCGGGGTATTGAGGGTGGAAGAGAGTGCTGGTCATTCACTCCCCCCACCTACAATCCCTGTCAGTACTGAGACTCAAACCCACAACCTTTGGGGTTATAAGTTCAACTATCTTACCATTAGGCCATGGCTGTCCCCTAAAGGCACAAAAGAGATGTTTTTGCTACACCTGCCAATGGTTGTTAACTAACAATCAATCAATCAATCAATCAAATGTCGACCATGTCACATGTACAGGCCCGTTTAAAGTTTGCCAAAGAACATCTAAATGATTCAGAGAAAGCTTGGGAGAAAGTGCTGTGGTCAGATGAGACCCTTTAAAATTGAGCTCTTTGGCATTAACTCGACTCGCCGTGTTTGGAGGGAGAGAAATGCAGACTATGACCCAAAGAACACCATCCCTACAGTCAAGCACGGAGGTGGAAACATTATGCTTTGGGGCTATATTTCTGCTAAGGGTACAGGACAACTTCACCACATTGAGGGGCAAATAGACGGGGCCATGTACTGTAAAATCTTGGACGAGATCAAAGGGGGGGCGCAGGAGCAGATACACTTTGAGGTAGGGCTGGGCAATAAAACTATAAATAATTATATTGATATAATTTTCCTCAATAAATATCCGATTGAATGTTTATGAGCCAAAAGCGGGAAAAAACAGCACTACTAATTTGAACCGTGTCACACGGACCATTTATCCGCTTAGTTCAAACTGCGGCGCAACACAGAGCGAGCTGACTAGAGCAGATGTGTTTACTCCCTGATCACGCAACCACTAAACAGCGCTGTGAAATCCAGTGTGAAGTGCTTGAATTCAGCGAAGAACACAAATGACTGATATAAACTAGTATCAGTCAATATCAGTCAACTGATATAAACTAGTTTAAATCCAGATGAAACAGCGCTGACAAACAGCAGAAAAACACTGTGTGCAATGATACAGTCAGAAGGCTTTTCAATCTACAGACATCAATCCTATAGAAACTCTGTGGAGGGAGCTGAAACTATGAGTTGCCAAACGACAGCCAAGAAACCTTAAGGATTTAGAGAGAATCTGTAAAGGGGAGTGGATCAAAATCCCTCCTGAGATGTGTGCAAACCTGGTCACCAACTACAAAAAACGTCTTAACTCTGTGTTTGCGAACAAGGGTTTCTGCACCAATTACTAAGTCATGTTTTGCTTGGGGATCAAATACTTATTTCACTCACTGAAATGCAAATACATTTCTAACCTTTATATAAACTTTTTTGTCTGGTATTCTGTCTCTATACATTAAAATAAACCTAAAAACTATAAATAATTATATTGATATAATTTTCCTCAATAAATATCCGGGAAAAAACAGCACTACTAATTTGAACCGTGTCACACGGACCATTTATCCGCTTAGTTCAAACTGCGGCGCAACACAGAGCGAGCTGACTAGAGCAGATGTGTTTACTCCCTGATCACGCAACCACTAAACAGCGCTGTGAAATCCAGTGTGAAGTGCTTGAATTCAGCGAAGAACACAAATGACTGATATAAACTAGTATCAGTCAATATCAGTCAACTGATATAAACTAGTTTAAATCCAGATGAAACAGCGCTGACAAACAGCAGAAAAACACTGTGTGCAATGATACAGTCAGAAGGCTTTTCAATCTACAGACATCAATCCTATAGAAACTCTGTGGAGGGAGCTGAAACTATGAGTTGCCAAACGACAGCCAAGAAACCTTAAGGATTTAGAGAGAATCTGTAAAGGGGAGTGGATCAAAATCCCTCCTGAGATGTGTGCAAACCTGGTCACCAACTACAAAAAACGTCTTAACTCTGTGTTTGCGAACAAGGGTTTCTGCACCAATTACTAAGTCATGTTTTGCTTGGGGATCAAATACTTATTTCACTCACTGAAATGCAAATACATTTCTAACCTTTATATAAACTTTTTTGTTTGGTATTCTGTCTCTATACATTAAAATAAACCTACCATAAAAAATTACAGACCCTTCATTTCTTTGTAAGTGGGCAAACTTCCAAAATCAGCAGGGGATCAAATAAATATTTTCCCCACTGTACATTATCCTATATCAAACTCTATGAGCCATAATTCTCCTATATTAAATACTATGAGCCATAAATGCATTCTCATATATCAAACTCTTTGAGCCATTAAAGAATCAATAAATAAATAAAAATCACATGCAAAATGTAAAACAGTTTATTAAACCTTTAGATAATATTTTCTCTAAAGGTTAAATACACTGTTTTATAAAAAAAAAAAATATATATATATATGTACTATTATTCCATGCCAGGCTTTACAGGGTTCGGAAACATGAACAGGAGAGGGCAACTCTTTTGCCTTCCTCATTGCGTGTGCTGTGAATGTTAACGAGGAAATAGAGAATGAAATACAGGTGAAAAGTCACATGAGAGGAGTCCTCTATCATGCTGTGACTGGCTCATTACCCTTCCAGATTTGATAATACTCACATCTCATGCTCACAACGCTCTGAAAATCAGTCTGAATGTGTCAAACTAGTGTAAATGGACAAACTAATTACAAAGTAAACCGCACGTTCAAATCAAGATGAACTTGGCCTGCGAGTGAGCTGGTTCTCAGTAAGCATTAAACCTGCTTCTCTCTGCCTGCAACCAACATGACACCTGTAGTAACAGAGAATCTGGTGACTTATGGTCAGAAAACTATTAAAAAAAGAAGTTTTTTCAATAAATAGTGTTTTAATATAAAATCAGTATAAATATGATAGTATTGGTTGCTTATTGTTAGTAAATGTAAACAGTGTGTACAAGTTGAAATGTACTATGAATTTGAATAGAACTAAAATTCCAAACACCGAGGCGACTTTGCCTCATCTTTTCATAAATTCACCACATGCCACCGATGCCCAATCGGGTCAGAGCTTAAAAACATCCCATCCCATTAGCCTCAGTTCTCAGCCACAATTTAGCAGCGCGAGTCTTCACCCTGAAATTAAACCCAAATGAATGCGCTGTCTGCCGGGTCGGAGCATGAAAAGAATCCATTTTAGCCTTGATTTTTAAACTCCTCACCACTCCGGCGTATTTGCTCTGGCTCCTTGAAATAAAATCTTTCCAGGACCTTTAATTACTGCCCACAAAAAATTGCCTTCAGCACAAAACTCTTTTTTTTCTGCATCCATTGAGGATAACAAACAGGCTAGTGGGACAAACTCTGGCACAGAGCTGGAACTCAATTAAAGCGAGAGGAGCTGAGAGTCCATCGGGCCGCTACGAGTAGATTAGGCCTTTCCAGAAATAAAAAGGCACCAAATGAATCAAGCGCACGGTCAAAAATTACATGAGATGGGGTCAGTATGATACGTTAATACCGCTGCGCCTGACGCTGCATTCTGTGTCGAGCATTTCTCATTTTTTAGGGCTTGTGATTTTGCTTTCCACACAATTCCCGCTGCACATTTGCATGAATTTACATGCGGGGTTGGTCTCTTAAGTAGATTAAGACTCAGAAAGGTTGAGGGAGGGGAGCTGCTTATGCCAGTTTTATGGTCAGAGATGCCAGGCTGACACGTATTCGGCTGGTGTAGAAGTTCTTGGGGCTTGTGCAAGCATTTTAGTGGAGTAATGTTCTCGCCCTCATTTTGTTCTAAAATACCTTTCTTTCTCATACAAAGAAAGCCTATTTTGACTAGGCCTTTATAAAACATTGATAAAGGAGCACTGTAGGGTAAAAGTACAATTAAAATAGTCCATATGATGCATATACTTTATTCTGAAGTCATAAGACTTTTAGGTGCTTTTATGCTGAAAATCGTTTTGCTCTTCTACATATTCAAACATGCTTGGTAAGAACCATTTTGTATATGTGACCCTGGACCACAAAACCAGTCTTAAGTCGCTTGGGTATATTTTTAGCAATAGCCAAAAAAAACAGTGTATGGATCAAAATTATCGGATCAAATACTTATTTCACTCACTGAAATGCAAATACATTTCTAACCTTTATATAAACTTTTTTGTTTGGTATTCTGTCTCTATACATTAAAATAAACCTACCATAAAAAATTACAGACCCTTCATTTCTTTGTAAGTGGGCAAACTTCCAAAATCAGCAGGGGATCAAATAAATATTTTCCCCACTGTACATTATCCTATATCAAACTCTATGAGCCATAATTCTCCTATATTAAACACTATGAGCCATAAATGCATTCTCATATATCAAACTCTTTGAGCCATTAAAGAATCAATAAATAAATAAAAATCACATGCAAAATGTAAAACAGTTTATTAAACCTTTAGATAATATTTTCTCTAAAGGTTAAATACACTGTTTTATAAAAAAAAATATATATATATATATGTACTATTATTCCATGCCAGGCTTTACAGGGTTCGGAAACATGAACAGGAGAGGGCAACTCTTTTGCCTTCCTCATTGCGTGTGCTGTGAATGTTAACGAGGAAATAGAGAATGAAATACAGGTGAAAAGTCACATGAGAGGAGTCCTCTATCATGCTGTGACTGGCTCATTACCCTTCCAGATTTGATAATACTCACATCTCATGCTCACAACGCTCTGAAAATCAGTCTGAATGTGTCAAACTAGTGTAAATGGACAAACTAATTACAAAGTAAACCGCACGTTCAAATCAAGATGAACTTGGC